AGACATTCATTTTTAAAATTGTTGCAGAAGAATACAGATGTTTTGGAAGATAAGAAATAGCTTATGTAGTAATTTCTGGGTTGGAAATTCAAGAAGAAAGAAGACAGAGAACTATGCTGAAAGCTTGAGTAGGGTTATACCTAATGTGTCCCTGGGACAGAGACAATATAATAGACGCCTAGGCGGTGCCACCCCGAAAGAAGGGAATAGTATGGCCTGAGTTTTCTCTATCACATCAGCCCCCTAACCAGTCAACGTCCCTTCACTAGGAATTCAAGAAGAGTCAAGAAATCAAAGCATAGCAGGCCAAGTTCTCACTTTCTACACTTGACACACAAAAGTAATACAGAGGTAAGTCCAACCTTATAAAATAAAAATTCAAAATATTGGCCTAATTCAGCATTTTTCCAAGTTGAATCTCACAGAGCATTAATGTCAAGCAAAATATTGATGCAGTATAATATATATGTGTGCCTATGTATGTGTGTATGTACATATATGTTTGTATTCCAAGTGTGTGTGTGTGTGTGTGTTTATTCCAAATGTGGGAAATACTAAATAAGACAAATTTTGAAAGTGTTCTTAAACTCAGTACTTCTCAGAGATTATATTAGGCTAATTTGAATCTCCAATAAGGACATAGAATATGGCCTTTTTCCAAACGTATTTGAACAAATTTATTTTAAAAACACCTTTGGAGAAGATATTGTATTTCACAGAACATAGCTTAGAAAATGCTGCTCTAACTCATTAGTGTATCCCAGCATTTAAGCCCCTAGCATATATATCCTGGAATAGAAAACCATGTTAAATACTGAGCAATCACCTGATGTACTCCCAGAAACCACATTTTCTTCTATAATTTTTTGAGTGGGCATGATTACATAGTGTTACTCACTGGAAGTCCATGGACTTTGGTCAGACACAAGCCCCACTCTGGCTCTTTCTGGCTATGGGACCTTAAACAAATTACCTAATTGCTTTGAGCCTTAGATTCTTCATCTATTAAAAGGAGATAACATAGGGAGGCTGAGTGAGAGGACAGCTTGAGCCCAGGAGTTTGAGATAAGCCTGGGCAACATAGCAAGATCCTGTCTCCACAAAAAAATTAAAAATTAGATGGGCATGATGGTGCATACCTGTAGTCCCAGCTACTAGAGAAGTTAAAGTGGGAGGATTGCTCAAGCCCAGGAGTCTGAGACTGCAGCAAACTATGATCCTCTGATCATACCAGCTTGGGAGACAGAGTGAGACCCTATCTCTAAAAAAAAA